GAAAAAATTCTTTCTAACGTCTCTGTGGCTCATCTGGGTACTAAGTTTCCACCTGTGTCCCCTTGTTCGTGTCCCACCCGTGCTGAAGAGTTTGTCTTTGTCCACCCTGTCAATTCCCCTGAGAATTTTGTAGGTTGGTTATCATGTCTCCCCTTACTCTTCTGTTTTCCAGGGATGTGAGGTTCAGCTCCTTTAGCCTTTCCTCGTAGCTCAATCCTCTCAGTTCCGGGACGAGCCTGGTGGCATACCGCTGAATCTTCTCTAACTTTGTCTTGTGTTTAACTAGGTATGGACTCCAGGCTGGAGCTGCATACTCCAGGATTGGTCTTACATAAGTGGTATGTGTGTAGTGGACGTGTTGAACATTCTCAGGCTTTTCATGGAACAAACAAAAAATTTAACCACCACCAACCAACACCCCCACACTGTGCCACACACCACCCACACCACGACACCACCAACTTCCCCACACCATACACTACACTGCCAACACTATGCTCCACACCACCCACACTACCACACACTGCCCCACTACACACCACCACACTACACTGTTCTGTTTACTGTTCCTGATATATGTAAATGATCTCCCAGAGGAAATAGATTCGTTCCTCTCAATGTTTGTGGACAATGCAAAAATTATGAGGAGGATTAAAACAGAGGAAGATAGTATGAGGCTACAAGATGACCTAAACAAACTGAATGAATGGTCCAACAAATAGCTACTAAAGTTCAACCCAAGTAAATGTAAGGTAATGAAACTAGGGGAAGGGAATAGGAGACTGTTACGAACCCGGATCCAGCGTCCGAGCACGGAGCAGTGACGACCGCGCCATCTGTGAAAAGCTCCCGAAACCCCCACCAAATGGACGACGACACCTGGTGAGGACAAGGTGTACTGGCCACAAGGGCCAGTTTCCAGTCCGGTTCAGCTCACAGCACAGCCGCCGCTGACCTCTGGTGAGGTGGTGCTCAGACTACAACGCCATCTATGGAGTGGATATGTCGGCCGTTTGTGCCTGAGCCCGTAAGTGAGGTGTTTTAGTGTGTCCCAGTTATTGATGACGTGTCTGCTTACAGAGTCGACCTGGGACTGCTGTGATGGAAGTTGAGTCAGTCTACCCAAGGCAGCCGTCCCCATACCTTGTGCTTTGCTGCAGCAGCTGTGAGTCGGCCCCCGGATGAACACTGTGGTGTTACCCTGCCTGTGATACGGCAGTGAAGGATCGTCGTACCCGGGACCGACTGCTGGAGACGATTAACCACTGAGGTATTGAGGACAGGAGAGTGATTTGTGGTATCACACGAGGCTTCTGACTAGGGCGCTACCCTAGTATCGCTCGTGGAGTGGCCTGACCAGCGTTGCTGATCCGGAACCTGCTAGCAGACCTGCTGGACTTGTGGTTGACGGCCTCCACGGCGGTGCCCCAGTGGAACTGTGTTTTGGCTGGCCTGTGTCTGGGGTAGACTCAGCTTGATCGAAGGATTCGTCAAGAGACCACGAAAGCAACGAGGACTTGGCACCAAGAGGATCCAGCGTCTTCAGGAGAAGACGACCATGTATATACTTCCCCTGCGTAGTGTTAATACCCCTCCCCCTGTGTAACTTTTATATATTACTTATTGGTGAAGGTAATTATAAGCTTAAGTTTTTGCCTTTCTTTCCCTTCCCCTTTTATTTTACTTGCGTCACGGATCTCATCCCTTGAAAGCCACTACTGGCTTGGGGCCGGATACAACTTCCTCTAATAACATCAGAGTACGAACCCAGTTGCGACCCGAGAGGGCCGTAACAGAGACCAGACACTGGATACAGAATGGGAGATGACATCCTTCACGAGACGAACAGAGAAAGACATAGGGGTTGATATCACACCAAACCTGTCTCATGAAGCCCACATCAAAAGAATAACATTGGCGGGATATGCGAGGCTGGCTAACATCAGAACTGCCTTCAGAAACTTGTGTAAGGAATCTTTCAGAACCTTGTATACTACGTATGTAAGGTCCCAGGAGTATGCAGCCTCAGCATGGAGCCCGTACCTTGTCAAGTACCAGACGAAACTGGAAAAAGTTCAGAGGTATGTCATTAGGCTAGTTCCAGAACTAAGAAGCACGAGTTACGAGGAAAGGCAGAGGGAACTGCACCTCACGTCACTGGAAGACAGGAGAGCTCGTCGAGACATGATCACCACATACTGTACAAGATTCTTAGGGGAATTGACAGGGTAGAAAAAATGGATTATTTAACAAAAGTGGTACACGCACAAGGGGGGGACAGATGGAAGCTGAGTACCTAAATGAGCCAGAGACATTAGAAAGAACTTTTTCAGTGTCAGAGTAGTTAGTAAATGGAATGCACTAGGAAGTGATGTGGAGGAGGTTGACTCCATACACACTTTCAAATGTAGATATGATAGAGCCTAGTAGGCCCAGGAATCTGTACACCTGTTGACTGGCGGATGAGAGGCAGGACAAGAGAGCCAATGCTCAACCCCCACAAGCACAACTAGGTGAATACACTGTGGCCCCCCCCCCACACCAACACACTGTGCCGCCCCCCCACACCACCACATTATGCCCACCACACCACCACACTGTGCCCCCCCACACACACCATCACACTGTGCCTCCCCCACACACCACCTCACTGTGGCCCCCCCCCCACACACACCACCACCACACTGTGCCCCCCCCCACACACACCATCACACTGTGCCTCCCCCACACACCACCACACTGTGCCCCCCACACCTAGTGTATGCCACTAGGCTAGTCCCAGAACTAAGAGGCTGCGTGAAATGCACCTCACGAAACTGGAAGACAGAAGAGTAAGGGGAGACATGATCACTACCTACCTACAAATTTTGCCGGCTTTTGAGAGCTGGCAAAATTCTGAGGAATTGACATGGTAGATACACTGTTTAACACAGGTGGTACGCGAACAACGGGACACAGGTGGAAACCGAGTACCCAAATGAGCCACAGCTGAGGCACCTGACAGCTGACTGGACAGCACTTCGGATTAGTAGTCCTGAGGTTCCCGGTTCGATCCCTGGTGGAGGTGAAGACAAATGGGCAAAATGTTTCTTTCACCCTGATGCGTCTATTACCTAGCAATAAATAGGTACCTGGGAGTTAGACAGCTGCTACAGGCTGCTTCCTGGGGGGGGGGGGGGGAGGAGGGGTGTAAACAAAAGGAGGCCTGGTCGAGGACCGGGCCGGGGACGCTAAACCCCGAAATCATCTCAAGATTACCTTTTTTACCTCGAGAAGATTACAGGGACGTTAGAAAGAACTTTTTCAGAGACAGTGTTGTTAACAGATGGAATGCTCTAGGAAGTGATGTGGTGGAGGCTGACTCCATACACAGTTTCAAATGGAGATATGATAGAGCCCAGTAGGCTCAGGAACCTGTACACCAGTTGACTGACAGTCGAGAGGCGGGACAACTAGGTGAGTACACCACCACCACACCATGCCCCCCCACACCACACTGTGCCCCCTCCCCCCCACACCACCACACTGTGCCCCCTCCCCCCACACCACCACACTGTGGCCCCTCCCCCACACCACCACACTGTGGGGGCCTCGTAGCCTGGTGGATAGCGCGCAGGACTCGTAATTCTGTGGCGCGGGTTCGATTCCTGCACGAGGCAGAAACAAATGGGCAAAGTTTCTTTCACCCTAAGTGCCCCTGTTACCTAGCAGTAAATAGGTACCTGGGAGTTAGTCAGCTGTCACGGGCTGCTTCCTGGGGGTGTGTGTGTGTGTGTGGTGTGGAGAAAAAAAAAAAAAAAAAAAAAAAAAAAGTAGTAAACAGTTGATTGACAGTTGAGAGGCGGGCCGAAAGAGCAAAGCTAAACCCCCGTAAAAACACAACACAACTAGTAAACACTGTGGCCCCTCCCCCACACCACCACACTGTGGCCCCTCCCCCACACCACCACACTGTGGCCCCTCCCCCACACCACCACACTGTGGCCCCTCCCCCACACCACCACACTGTGGCCCCTCCCCCACACCACCACACTGTGGCCCCTCCCCCACACCACCACACTGTGGCCCCTCCCCCACACCACCACACTGTGGCCCCTCCCCCACACCACCACACTGTGCCCCCTCCCCCACACCACCACACTGTCCCCCACACCCCACCTGTGCCCCCTCCCCCACACCACCACACTGTGCCCCCTCCCCCACACCACCACACTGTGCCCCCTCCCCCACACCACCACACTGTGCCCCCTCCCCCACACCACCACACTGTGCCCCCTCCCCCACACCACCACACTGTGCCCCCTCCCCCACACCACCACACTGTGCCCCCTCCCCCACACCACCACACTGTGCCCCCTCCCCCACACCACCACACTGTGCCCCCTCCCCCACACCACCACACTGTGCCCCCTCCCCCACACCACCACACTGTGCCCCCTCCCCCACACCACCACACTGTGCCCCTCCCCCACACCACCACACTGTGCCTCCCCCACACCACCACACTGTGCCTCCCCCACACCACCACAGTGCCCCCTCCCCCACACCACCACACTGTGGCCCCCAAACCAACACTGCACCCCCATTACACACAGAGATCACAGCAATGTGATGCATCAAATGAACAAATCCACAAACCCTGGTTTGTGCCTCGGAGAGGCTACAGGATCCAGTAAGTTCAGTAGAACTTCGGTTTCAACTGTTTTACCCTGTCGTAGCTCAGTCGATTAAGGCAGTGTCTGGGATGCTCCTGGACGCAGGTTCGAATCCTCGTCTCGGCCCTTGTGGATTTGTTCACTGTACCCCCACACCATCACCACACTTCATCTAGTAGTAATCCTTTCTAGGACAAATAACATTTGACAAAAATTACATAACAAGTAAGCTTAAGTGTGCATTTGATTATTAATTAAGCATCTTGTAAATATAAAAAAATAGCCAGCAAGAGAGCAAAATTCTGCACGAGGCATAAAAGAATCAATAACTTGTGCGTACATTACCTGATTACCAGAGGTCTTGACAAAGGTGGCCTTTACATTGCCCCCAGAGCAACCAGCACTAACTCCAGTTAGCTGAATGGGAAGGTGGCCACCCTTGCCACCCATCACCTTTATCATCTGTGGCTGACCACCTGTAAGGAAAATACGAAACCAATCAGTATATTAAAAACATTTGTTACTTTGCTAGACATGTGGCCCAAAATTTGTAAGCCTTGTGAAAATAATACAATGGCACATTGCAACAGATTAAGAAGCTGCATCAATACTTTCACAGAATCAAGTATCAGAGGCAAGTCCTACATAGTACAATGATTAAATCACACACATTTACAAAGTAATCTAACTTGTCCTCAGAGAAGTATCATCTAAAGAGCTTTCATTCAGATACTGTACATATATTATTTCTATACTGTAATAACACCAAATAATATAGCTATTGTACTGATATTTTCAAACATATTCAATGATAATCATGCTTCTTGGCAAGTCTGCCAAGAACACTGTTGCTAATACATACAGCAATCACATTACACTGTATTATAGTAGACTGTACCCTCCAAAATCCAAGTCTCCATATAATGGATCTCTAAATGGACCAAGCCCACCCATCAAGTACGTCCAGGTATGTCCTATGATAATCATATTTGTCAACAAAATATCCTATTTTGGATGGGGTCAATGTCAAATCCTGAATGCTAATTTAATCAGTGGTGATATCTGACTCCTGTTAGGAGGGAGAGAGCATTTACAGAAATGCAAGGAGCTAAACATACGGACACCTTACACAAGGTACTCCTGTCCTTATAAGTGATTACCAATGCTCAATAGTGTACACAGCTTTACACTGCACAGCACTGCAACCATGGGTTACAAGTCTAGCTGAGGGAATACCTTTCTCTCACATCCTTCAAATTGTCCTAGATAAAACAAGTGCTTGGTGCACCATGTGTGGCAAGTGGAATTCAACGTAAATAAATGCCATGTTATGGAATGTGGAAATGTTTTTTAAAGAACTCAAAGAAAGATCTAGGGATATACAGTGTACCAGAAGCACACCTGGAGAGGGTCTCAGGAGTTCTTCTACTCCCCAAGCCCGGCCTGAGGCCAGGCTCGACTTGTGATAATTTGGTCCAATAGGCTGTTGCTTGGAACGGCCTGCAAGTTCAAATATCTTGAGGTTATCTTGAGATGATTTTGGGGCTTAGCGTCCCCGCGGCCCAGTCCTCGACCAGGCCTCCTTTTTGTTACACTTCCCCCAGGAAGCAGCCCGTAGCAGCTGTTTAACTCCAAGGTACCTATTTACTGCTAGGTAACAGGGGCATCAGGGTGAAAGATACATTTTGCCCATTTGTCTCCGCCTCCACTGGGGATCGAACCCAGAACCTCAGGACTATGAATCTGAAGCGCTGTCCACCCAGCTGTCAGGTGCCCTGAAGCAAGGAAGCTTCTATCCACTACATTCCAGTTGGTCTGGCACTTCTTGCAAGATTAGTTCCAGATAGCACACTGTCACCAGAACACACAAAAAACATTGTGCGAGGAGCATATACTGCATTTTCCAACCTCAGAATCACATTTAATGACATGGATTGTGAAATACTAAAGAAACTGTTCATAACGTTTGAGAGAACAGAACTGGTTTACGCACCAGTTGTATTGTGCCCATATCTCAAGAAGCACATCAATATAAGGAAAAGATCCAAAAGCATGTTACAAAATGGCTTCCAGAACTGAAAAATTAAGTTATGAAGAGAGGCTTCAGACATCAAATGTCAAAGCTAAACAACAAAAGAAAGAGGCAATGTGATCACCACTTACAAAATAATAATAACAGGAACCAACCACATTAACAAGGAGGAATTCCTGAAATCGGCAACCTCAAGAACAAGAGGACACAGATTGAAGCCATGGAAACAAAGGTGCCAAAAAAATATTAGAAAGTTTTCTTTTGCAAACAGAGTGGTAGATGGTTGGAACATGTTATTAAGAAAGTAGTGGAGGCCAAAATCATCAGTAGTTTCAAAATGTTATATGACAGTGCTGGGAAAATGGGATACCATTAGCTTAGTTACAGGACACAATCCTGTAACTACACTTAGGTAATTACACACTAGCCAGTTGCTACATCAATGTGCTTCAGGGAAATCCAATTGCCTATGTACTACAGAACAGTTCGATCACCATGAGCAGTGTTCGAAGCAAAAAATTTTAGGGAATTTGAAAAATAGCTGAAATAAAACAAATATGCAAAAGTGAATGAAAAATTTGGATCAGTTGTAATTTAAGACAAAAGAAGTTGAAAAACAAAAATGGCCACTGCCTTAAGGAAGGACAACAACAAATGTGTATTTCAAGGATTTCTCTGTGGAAAAAATAATGAAAGGTAGTTTTCTTGGAAGGTTAGTCAATATTGAGGATTAGTTAAAAAATTATGAAGAAAAAATCTTAAATTAGAACAAGAAAATTAAATAGGAGATGAATTTGAAGAGGAAAACTAATACTTTGGAGTAGATCTCAGTGCATTTCTTCTAGCCAGCCAAAACAATGTGTTAGGCAAGAATATGCCAAGTGAAACCATAAGGACAACTCAATTAGAGGAGGTTATTAAAGGACTGGAAAGTGCAAGGAGGAAGTAAAAGAAACATGTGCAAGCTGTAAAAGTGAAAAACAATCAATCAAATAAGTATGTTTTGAAAGGTAAAAAAGAAATAAGCAGCAAGAAACAGACATTAGGTAAGCAATTAGGAAAGGACTGCTTATCAGCAGTAAATGTGTACAGAACACTGTAGATATAAACAAGTCCATAATTTTCAGGTGTAAAAAATGAGGAATACCATCTAAGGTGGTCAGAGCAACATAAGAGTTAAAAGTCATCAAGAAAATAGTACACAGTATTTAGGTGAAGGCAGCACAACAAATTAAGATGTTAATGATTTCAGGAGGATAGGCATATATAAAAAAGATAAGAAGTGTCCCCAAAGGGTGACATTTAATGAACTGAAACTTATGTCAGAAGCACTTAAGATACCCAGGAAAGTGCTAAATACCTGTAATGAAAACTATGATCAGAAAACTATGGTCAGTAACATGAGATTTTTCAAGGGCAGAGAAGCTAAAAACTGAACCTAAAGGAAGCAAAATGTCTAAACGAGGGTAGGAACGAAGAAGATTTTTATTACTACAAGGTGAAAGGAATTGGGGAAGCCGGTGAAATGGTACACAAAAGTATACCAACAAAATCATTACAGGAAGAGGGAGTAAAGGACAAAGGGAGTGGGAAAATGTTCCTCAAAATGGTATATACTGTACTAACTTGGAGTAGGATAAAAATATTGGAGCTGATGAATATAATACAGCTCAACATGTTAGAAATTGTTGCACTAACAATGACAAAACTTGAGGATAATATTTCAAATGCAGTCATATTCATAAGTAGCTATGTACTAAATTTGGAGAGAGAAAATATTTGAAAAAGTGGAGTTGTCATGCTGGTGAAAGATCCCCTGAAGGTAAGAGTATCAAGATTTGACAATGGTATTGAGATTTGTAATCAGAATCATAAGACTTATAAATATCTACATTCCACCAACAAGCAACAAAGAAGGAGCTGAAATATGGGAAACTTAGCAAGCTCTTTAATGAATTTGACTGGAAAGATTTATTGTTTGGCAAAGAAATACACACGATGTATGGTAAAATTTGTAGGATATATGATGAAGGTACAATAAAATTTATACAAAGACAGAGAAATAGAACTAAGAAGCAGGATTGGTTCAATGTAAATTGTGAGAAAACCAAAAAACAAAAATATGGAATCAGCAAAGGAAGAGGCCTAGCCCTTAAAGCCAACTATACAAACAAGCAACAAACACAGGCACTCAGTATAGTGTGGAGGGAGAGCTTGGACACAGGGGAGATACCAGATGTGCTTAAAGCAGCAGACATTGCCCCTCTACACAAGGGTGGTAGCAAAGCATTGGCAAAGAATTATAGACCAGTTGCACTAACGTCCCACATAATAAAAGTATTTGAGAGAGTGATCAGGAGTCGGGTCACTAGATTCATGGTAACCAATGACCTCCACAATCCAGGCCAACATGGATTTAGAGCAGGAAGATCATGCCTCTCACAGCTACTTTACCACTATGACAAAATCACCGAGGCATTAGAGGAAAAACATAATGCAGATGTCGTATACACAGATTTTGCAAAGGCATTCGACAATTGTGACCTTGGAGTGATTGCACACAAAATGAGGTCAATGGGTATAACTGGTAAAGTTGGATGCTGGATACTCAATTTCCTGTCGAACAGAACACAAAGAGTAACAGTCAATCAAGTAAAATCGAGTCCGAGCGCAGTTGAAAGCTCTGTACCTCTAGGTGCAGTCCTTGCACCACTGCTGTTCCTTATTCTCGTATCAGACATAGACAAAAATACATGTCACAGCTTCGTGTCATCTTTTGCAGATGATACAAAAATCAGCATGAAAATTACCTCTGCTGAAGACATTGATAAACTACAAACAGATATTAATAAAGTTTTCGATTGGGCAGCAGAAAATAACATGATGTTTAACGGTGATAAATTCCAGGTACTCGGATACGGCAAAAATGAGGATCTTAAACATAATACAGGGTACAAACCACAATCGAATCTGCCCATAGTAGGAAAACAGCATGTCAAGGATTTGGGAATAATGATGTCCGACGACCTAACGTTTAGGGAGCATAACCAAGCAAGTAAAATGCCAGAAAAATTTCAAGTCAGCCAGAAAAATGATTGGATGGATTACGAGAACTATCAAATCCAGAGATCCCATCACAATGGTTGTACAGCTGTACTCTTCAAGTCACACGTGTTGTCCCGTCTCGAGTACTGCTCAGTACTCACTTCCCTCTTCAGAGCAGGAGAGATTGCTGAAATATAGGGAATACAGAGAACATATACGGCACGCACAGACGCAATAAAGCACCTAAATTATTGGGATCGTCTCAAAGCTCTCCAAATGTACTCACTAGAAAGGAGAGGAGAGAGATACCAAATAATATACAGTACACATGGAAAATACTGGAGGGATGGGTCCCAAATCTGCACAGTAAAATAACGTACTAGAGTGAACGACATGGAA